GATTACTGAGTTGGGATGGGAACCCCGTTATACTACAGACCTCCCAGTCGAGATTATTTTTCCTTTATCTTTGTATGCTATTGCTATCCCTTTTCCCCTCTAGAACCGCTTCAGCCCCATGGATAATGATATCCCTGCTCCTAGTCCTATCCTAGATAGTGCCCCTTACTCCCATGTACCTCAACCTTTTTCCCCTCCTCCTGTCGAATCTGAGTGCGTTGACATCCAAGGGATTGAGTCATTTGTCCGACCCTGCTCGCCTACTCCATCTCGTCGACTTACCCATTGATGAAGCTAGACCTTCCCACCGTAGCCCTTCACCACCTTTATCCTCTCCACTCTCTCACATACCTCCACCTACCCCTGGTTAGCTGGAAGATATAGATGAGGACCTGCTCAGTCTGCCTACCGATCCTGATGCGACATTATTCACGTCAACATATTCTGATCCCTCAGAGTAATATACTCTTCTGGACTGATGTTTTCATATACTTTACTTTTTGCATGATGAGACTGTTTTGGGGATAAGATTGAGAGTTGATTATTGCTTTTTGTTCATTTTGGCTTATATTACGATATTCTCCTTGGAGCGTAATAGGTGTTTGACACTCCACTTTTCTCTCCTTAATCTTTTAATGGTTTATGTATGTGACTTTTGTATTGCTAACCAACTTGTTATGAATGTACAATGAAAGTTTGCTTAACCTTTAAATTGTACTTGGATTGCATATGAAAAAATTGTTCCCTTAATGATGATAATAACGTAAACCTCACATATTTACATAGACATATAACTAATCGAATCAAAATAGATTATGCACGTTAACCTTTCATATATATATATATATACTTGGAAAAAGTAATGCATCCTCAAGTGCATGTTCGTTGTAGTGAGTTTGGAATGTTAAGATATCATAGAATTAAAGATTAAGAACATTTACACCCTTTCATTATTCCAACCTCCTCTGCTCTTATTTCAGGATTTCCTCTTTTCTCCTCAATCTTAATCCTAAACCCAAAATATTTCTCAAGGACAAAGCCACATTGCAACGTCAGGTCCTTTCTCTTCAACCTTTTCACAATAATCTTTGGTGTTGCTTTTTTAATCTAAATGTGGTTTTAGGACATATATTTCCTTATTGTCATTTTGGATTGTATACCTTTGATGTATTTTAATCTCATACATGCTTCCATTAAACTGATAAAAAATAATATATTTAGATTATATGTGCATACTATCTCATTTAGAGTGCATGTTGTTTCTCTCATAGATTTTGTCTAAAAATTCTTGCACAATTATTCTAGTGAGCCAAATTGTAAAAGATAATTATAAAATCAATATAAATTGAACCAAGAACAAGGAAGTTAGAATAATTGGCATAATTGAAATTTTTGTGGTATTTACAATTTCTAACTTTATTTTTTCATTAAAAATTTATGAAAAAGATAGATAAAATATTAACAAAATGGATTCATCATTCTCTCCGCTGTTAAATTTGCTTAAGCACAATGAGCTTGCTTTAGCGAATTGTTTACATATGGGGAGATTAAGTGCAACAAACGAACTCTATGTGCTTAAGCGAATATATTAGCAAAATAGTGAGTTCATTGCCTTGTTACTCAACTTTATATATTCTAAAATTGATTTTTATTTTAAGATGACACCCAAAAAGTCTATTTCTCAAAGAAAGAGGTAAAGACCTGATGTTGGCCAAGGTTCACAACAACATGAAGAACTTATGGATGACCAACAACAACTATTACCAACAGAAACAGAATTACAAACACCAGCTTTTTCATTGGATAAACTTAGGTTTGGAACTAAGGTAAAGGCTTAGAGATACATCAAATTGGAGCCAAGAAAATTACTACATAAGAGGAAATTGGTATTAAAACAAAGAGAGTATGAGAAATTTATGCAAAAGATTGTTAGAAGGAAATTACAATACTTGGCAAATCTCCCCAACCAAATACATGAAGATATTGCAAAAAAAATTTATGCAAATGCATGGTCGTTAATTACAGATAAGTCAGATAGAAAGTCATGGGATCGAAGTTATATCGTTACTTATGATAATGAGGCTATTTCCACACTGTTAGGAAATCCTATGACCTTAGTAGAAAGGAAGCTTTGCCAATGCCATCAATGCAGAAAGTGATTCATAAGTTTCCTAGATGCAAAAGTAGTTAAGATGTGATGCATTCCTAAAAAATATTGAGACAAGTGCTACTGGAAAGCCAATAAGGTTCAAGAGGCAAAGGTCGAACACTTTTGCACAATTCTATACATCTTCCTTTTTGCCAACATAGCCTATCACACATAGCTCAGATATCTGTATGCCTTGAAGATATATGATTTATAGCTTCATAGAGAAGATAAGTATTGACATAACAACAATCATTTCAGATGAAATGCACCTATTTGTCATGTTCAACACCTCCACTTCTATAGTAGCAATAAAACCTTTGGGATTCTCATATCTAATCACTGCTTTTTGTGCTTCACAAGATGCTATCATTCTTGACTGCTTCAACCAAATAGTGAAGTTGAAGAAACCTACGATTAATTTTCACTTCATCAGAAATTACTACACTAATCCATTAGAGCATCCTATTGCACCTTTTTCTCAACCATCCTCATGTGCAACACCTACACCAACACCACCAACAACTGCACCATTTATGTTTGACATGCCACAAATAAATTCTACCATCATATGCCATATGATTCGCATAGAGCAACAAATAAGTATAACAATAAGACATGCATGCAATTGAATGAGGCCTTCTACATGTCAATCTTATTTCAACAAATCTTTTTACATATTTGAAATTGTAATCCATGTTTAACATAACCCTAATTTTCTCTTTCCAAAAGTTCACACTACACCAACATCATGGACAGACTTTTGCTTTCCATAACCTTCATCATAAGCTTTTGCAGTTGTTGTATTACGGCCTGAAGACAACTCTACTTTCCTAACTCAAGAACAATTTGCAAAGGATAATGTGGTCCAACTAGAGGAAGGACCCTAGGAAGACATTCAAGGAAATGAATCAACAGATGGAGAACAAGGTGACCAAGCATAGGAACAAGGGGGACAAGACAAGGATCATGCAGCAAATAATGAGGGAAATCATATTGAAGACATGCAAGATGAGAAGTATGTGCTAGACATGATCACTCCAGAGATCTGAAATCATTAATGAATGTATTTAATATCAAAGATTTTTTGTTTTGTCATGAATTACAATTGTAATATTTCATTAATGGAATAGAATTGAGTATTTTTCTATGTTGGTGTTTGCTTATATTTCGTATATTTATCCATTTTGAACAACTATATTGTTGGATTGGAATGAAATATATAAACACATTTTGTCCCAAATTTTCATGATGTTTGTTTCTACATAATAAACTCATTTTTTCCATTATTTGTTTAAGCGACTAATTTTTACTGAAATAAATCCTAATTCGTTGCATTTTAACTAAGTTGGCTCAAGCAAATACCAAACTTGCTTAAGTAGATCCATATTCATTTAAATGAATGACTAGATTTTGAGTCATTGCTCTCTATGCCAAACTCCCTTAACAATAATTAAATAGGCTTGAAATGACTTAAGTGAATTTTATTTTGCTTAAGTGATTCTTAATGCGCTTAAGTGAATTACAGAATTAAAATCCATGACTCTCAGTCTCAAATTCGTTTAAGAGTAATTAAATTTACTTGAATGGACTTAAGCGAATACTTGTTCACTAAAGCGAATATTAAGTCAATTAAATGTGAAATGCTTAGTTTCTTTTGTCTCACTTAAGCTCATTTTACACATTGACAAGCATATATTATCTCGCTTAAGCTCTTGTTTAAGTAAGATTAATTTATTTTCACTTAAGCACTAAAATTTACTTATTAAAATAATTTCAACTATAGAATTATGTTTGCGCCAAAATTATAGAAAATTCATAAGTGTTTATTAACGTATTGATTATTAGGAGTTTTTAACTAAAATGATTGAAGAAGGTTGAAAATAAAAAGAAAGAGGAGTTATTTCCCCATTTGAGAAAACTTTTACCTCCATAATTATTTTATATTATGACTACTTTTTCTTTTATCAATATACATTTCTTATAAGATTTGTTGATGTTAATTCATACCTTTGTATACTTATAATTCAATTGATAGTTTAATTATACCATGAAATAATTAATAAATTTTGTATCAGAGTGTTTTTTTAAAAAAAAATTCTGAACCTTTAAATATATTAAATTGGTAAGGGTTTTGAAAATTTAGTGACCAACATGTGCATATATAATAAATTCAGTGTTAGAGGTTTGTAAAATTTTGATGACTAACACGTGTACGTATAATTAAATTCAGAGCCTAAGATATACATATCATTGCAAAATTATCTATGTAATTTTCATTTGGTCAGAGTGTTCAGAAGTTGTGTTTTACTTTGCTTGAATATGATCTGACATCTTGGCTGAATATTTTATTTTTGAACTTGGACTTGACCTGGGCATATTTAACTAATGATTGAGTTGGGATTGAGAAAGTATACAAATTATTATACCTTTTATCAAGAAAAATATTTATTAATTAAAGATATAAAAAATAATATGATTATGTAGAATAATGGATTAAAATGGGAATAATTATTAAATGATTAAATTGAAAATATTAAACTAAAAAAGGATAATAGTGAGATAAAAAATGTGTAAGGAAGAGTGGTGAGTTGGGGGGAATATTGATTAGTGGAAAAGCATTTGCTAGTTGACACTTGACACAATTATTATGAGGTGGAAATCCAAACGGGGATGTCTGTCTGGACATGCCACGTCACGCAGGTTCTTTTTTGTCTCTCCCGTTCCCGTTCCCGTTCGTTCCTTTCCATTTTTATAACGCATTTTCAATTTCGCGACCAAAATTGAAAGTGATTCGCGTGTGGGCCCCGCTAAACAGTCCTATTTGGGCCTTTCCTCACTGTGATTGGCCCTTCCCCTCCCGTATCCCTGTGCCACTTTAGCATTTTCTACAGTGCGCACCGTTTCTTATCCTTCACCACCCTCTCTTCTCTCCCACTCAACTCATCTCCTCAACCCCCAGACGCAAATAACGTTAACAAACAAACAAACGCTCAATCAGACTCAGAAGCTCTTTCGATCTTTCATAACGCCTTATTCATACTTGATGGGTTTCTCTCGCCAACAACCTCTGTGATTGTCAACCGCGTTTTGGATCTGTAATCAGAGCAGAGGATCGCTCCAATGGCTGGGAGTAACGAACTTAACGCCAATGATTCTAAGGTATTCAGAATCTCTGCACCGCACTTTTGGATTGAATTCGATTTGTTGATTGAACTTCATATTGTAGAACCGTACGGTATCTCCTGCTTACTTTCTTTCTTTCCTCTTTTGGCTTTGATTAATTCTTCATTTCTTGTTTTTCTGCATACTGTTTGATAATCTCTTGTGTGATTCTTTTTATTATTATTCTTTTTGGTACTGTGCTTAAATAAAACAATGACTCCTGTTTTGGTGATTCATCGTCTTCGTTTTGGTTTTTGAGTTTCGATATTTTTGTTTTCATCGAAGAATAGATTGAGCTTTGCTTTGTTCTGGTGGTGTAATAGTTTCGGTTTTCGTTGGATCAATTCGAGGTTTCACCTAACGCGGCTTCACTGTTTAGGGTTTGGTACACACTATGCTGATTTTAACTGTTTGGTTCATTATTTTCTCCAAAATTACGGGGTTTAAGCATTTTATTTTAGATTTATTTTCTGATTCTAATCATCCATTTTTTTTTTGTTGTAGATATTTTTCTGATTATCCTCAATTTTTTTCACTTAAAAATGGAATAAAATTTGGTGTAGATGGTGGTTCCGTTGAATATGTGGGTTCTGATCTCCAATTTCAAGTTGGCGTACAATCTTCTTCGTCGTCCTGACGGTACTTTCAACCGGGATTTAGCAGAGTTTCTTGATCGGAAAGTTCCGGCAAATGCTAACCCTGTAGATGGAGTGTTCTCTTTTGATGTCATAGTTGACCGCGAAACGAATCTCCTCTCTCGAATCTATCGTCCTGCAGAGGGAGAAGTGCGCCAAGTGACCGTTGTTGACCTTGAGAAGCCCGTGAGCTCTGAGGTTGTTCCTGTTCTCATATTCTTCCATGGTGGAAGTTTTGCACATTCTTCGGCAAACAGTGCTATATATGACACCCTGTGTCGTCGCTTGGTGGGTATTTGTAAGGCTGTTGTGGTCTCCGTGAATTATAGGCGTGCACCTGAGAATAGGTACCCCTGTGCATATGATGATGGGTGGACAGCTCTAAAGTGGGTTAGTTCTAGATCTTGGCTTCAGAGTAGGAAGGATAAGAAAGTTCATGTCTACATGGTTGGGGATAGCTCGGGTGGGAACATTGTGCACCATGTTGCCCTTAGAGCTGTGGATTCGGGAATTGAAGTGTTGGGGAATATGCTGCTCAACCCATTGTTTGGCGGGCAGGAAAGAACTGAGTCTGAAAAGCGTTTAGATGGAAGATACTTTGTTAGAGTTAAGGATCGGGATTGGTATTGGAGGGCTTTTCTTCCTGAAGGGGAAGATAGAGACCATCCTGCATGTAACCCTTTTGGCCCCAAAGGCCGAGACCTTGAAGGGATTGCTTTTCCAAAGAGTCTTGTTGTAGTTGCTGGTTTAGACCTTGTTCAGGACTGGCAGTTGGCTTATGCCAAAGGGCTTGAGAAAGCTGGGCAAGAAGTGAAGTTGCTATTCCTGGAGCAAGCAACGATTGGGTTTTACTTGCTGCCGAATAATGAGCACTTCTCCACTGTTATGGATGAGATAAAATATTTTGTGAGCTCTGACTGTTCATAGGCTTAACTTTTGCTATACACAAGGGGACGTACTTAGAAGATTGTGTAGGTAATAGGTATGCTACTTCTTAACTTTTTTCACATTTTGGCTTCTTTACTGTAGGACTTTGCTCCCGTGATTAGGTACTTCTCTGGTATTAAATGTGTCGTGAGATTGGTGTAATCAGCATATAGCTGTATGATGTTTTCCCGGGGCACATCATCAGGACATTGGGTGTTGCGGATGGATGAAAGCTTTTTAGGACAAAGGGGAGCTATGGCCATGTTTATGGGAACCACGAAAGTAGTGATTACCCACTCTGACTTCCAGCCAAAAAGGAGAGGAAGACATTATTCTATTTCTGGGCGTGACCTTGATGCCAATCAGTGGGGCTTGTCGTTGTCTGGCAAGTGTTATATATGACTAATTTTGGAACTCGGATAGGGAAAGTATCAATGATATGTTGGTGCTGTTAGATTATATACGTCTGTGCTATCTTCATATGAGTGTTTGTTTTAAGACTGTTGACTTTTTTCTCTATATAGCTAATTTTACGTTCTTATGTCTTGGGTTGTCCTTCTTGTTTGACGATGGACACTCTTTGCAAGTGTAAATGGATGTCTTTTCGGCGCAATGTTAGGGCTTGTATTATGTTTGCTTCTGTATATATAGATATTTTTCAGTTTTTTCTTATGATACATTGGTTTAAGTTTTAATTCAACGTGCTTTATGTCCGTCAATTTTCGTTCATTAATAGTGTACTAATATCCGTTCAAGACCGTTTACTGCAACTGATATTTTGACTATCAAGGTATTTGGTTCAAATTGATCTTTACAAAAAAATTACATTTTAAATGTCCTGTAAAAGATTATAATAGTAAATTATTTTTTTTTAAAAAAGTTTAACCAAACAGGAAAATTTCATTCCTTAAAGCTTATCACGAGTAATTTTGAAGTATTGATGGCAGAAGATACAACAATTGTCTCTTTTGAAAAAGTAAAAGGCCCACTGAGACATGTTACCACTCAAACTTCTCTTTTCTCTCCGAGTACCCCATAGGCCCGGTTGGATTTCACGTTTGCGTCCGTGGTCTCGCAGAGCATATTTGAACCGTTTGCGTTGGAATGAAAATTGGATCACGAAGAAAAGATAAATTATTAAATGGATTCGACGAATAAGAATTTATTCGAACAACTGTATGAGATGAATATGACCCAACGCGTTTTATATAAAATTAATAATATCACATAAATTGTTATATAAAACTAATATCATTTTGAATAATATTACCTGAATCACTATATTTAACACATTATACCAATCACTTTATAATAAAAAATCATTTGTTATTTTAACTTCACAAATTATACCATATATAACTAATCTGTAAATACATAGTATTCTTAACATATCTTAGAGTGAAGGTATCAAATTCACCAGTGTATACATTATTTTAAAAGATTATGCTATATTAAAATTTAATTGAGTGTTTTGTTTGTTATATTTTATTATTAAGATATAAAATATCACTTTTATTTAACAAAAGCATAGTAACGGATATTTGAGTGGTATTGTCACTGTTTTAAGATCATTATCACTTTCATATTTTTCTACAATAAACATTGAATGATAATTAATTTGAGAAAAAAAAGGCTTACTAAATTTTCTTGTAATATTGACACTTTAGAAGGTGTTTCTCTGCTGAGTCTTGTTTCTTGATTTCATGTACTACATTAGTATACGCCATCGACTCCGAATTTCAAGCAGTTGGATTAATCTTAAAAAAAAAATTTTGTTTTAAAAAATATAACAATTAAGATGAAATTGTTAAATTTTCAAAATATCTCTGATAATTTAACACTTTCTTACTTACAGTCCGTCTTACAGAAATATTTTCAGCAAAAAGAAGTGAAGAACACCTCACATGTATTCCACTATTAGTTTTTTTATTTCCGATTTAAAATTTTCAACAGAAATAAGATTATTTAAAAACTGATAATTATCGAGGAAGGTCTTGTATGTTTTAATGTTAGAAAGTTAATTCTTGCACTTTTCAATAATAAAAAAAATTCTTCAATAAGAAATATAATTCAGATTAATTTAAGTTAGTTATCAATAAATTTTGTCAAAATTAATTCTATAATCTTAACGATCACAAAGTACTTGAAAACTACCGAAAATTTTCTCTTTTCACACCCTATAAATATATTCTTCTGTTCTTTGTTTCTCTTTACGTGGTTCACTCAATACATGTACCATGTGATGTAAAGGTACGTGGAAAAAAAATCACGTGAGAAGATAAGTTTTCAAAACATTATCAAGAACATAAGTTCTATATACCAATTCTAGTGTCATTACTTGAATGTAGAAAGGAAATGGAAATGCAACAGAAAAGGCCACAAAAAGTTTTAATCAAGCTAAAAATTATAAAGAACATCTCTATAAAAAGACTGGCCCATTGAATATATCTTTAGTTCCAGATAATTGCATTGCTCTCTTTCAGCAAACATCATTTCTCACTGCTTCTTTGCAATTATCTCGAAACACAAACAGAATAACACAGATTTAACCCAAACAACATATTGTTCATTTTATAATAAGTAAGCACATGACATATTTCCTCAAGCTTTTGGCTCAGTACAAATTAAAATGTTATTCTCTAATAAGGACCAATATATATAGTAGCTCAACCACAACATATATTATAACGAGCAGATCTTGATCCTTACCAAAGTAACAAGAGTCTAACAAAGAGAAAAGGACAACCATTCAGCGTCCTCTAGCAACATAAGCAGCTAAGGCAGCAGCAAAAATTGTAGTTGCAGAGGATATGGCAGTCCATAAGCTCTTACTTTTATGTGCCTCAGCCACAGTCTTCTTCATTAATACAACTTGTTGCTTCATGTCATCCACCATCTCATTCTTGCTTTTGAATGCCTTCTTTATTGCATCTAATTCTTCAACATATGGCTGAATTTCTCCTTCCACAAGCTTCTCATTGGACACCACTTCCTCTCCTCTGTCCTTATATTGACAAACAAGTGCAGCAGTACCCTTCAACTTTGCCAGGGCCTTGCTCGAATTGGTGCACCACAACTCAACCTTTGCTCTCAAATCATCAGATTCACGTTGTGCCTCCACAAGACTACCCTGCAATGCACTCTTTTCCTTCATCAAAACATCCACACGGTGTTCGAGCATAGTGATCTTCTCAATGTGCTTCTCACCTACACTTTTCATCTCTTCCAACTCAGCTACACTTCTTTCAATCATTCCCTCAGCTTCTGCAACCCGCAACTCCAAGTTGCCCACTTTCTTTTTCTCCTCTTCAAACCCCTTTCTGATGCTATCCTTCTCAAGCACCATTTCATCAACATCATTTTTATAATGATTCACTTGAGAAAGCAACTCCTTATTTTCCTCTTCAAATTTCCTGCATTGCTCCTTCAACTTATCCACAACACCCCTCAACCTATCCACTTCTCCTTTCAACACAACAATTTCATTCTCGCGGTTAACTTTGACATGCTCGACCTCACTTCTCACTCTAATTGCTTCATCAAGTTCATGTTGCTTCTCCTCCAACTCCTTCTGAACCATACCGAGAACCTTATTAACAGCATCCTTTTCCTCCTTTAACATCTCAACACACTTTTCCACCTCCTTCTTCTCTCTCAGCAATGCACTCATCTCCATTGCCATCTCCTCTTCCTTCTGCATGGCAATGCCAAGATTCCCTTCCAGTTGGAGAACCTTATCACGCATGAACCCTTCTTCATTGCGGGAATTTCTCAAAGACTCGCTGAGTTGCTTCAACTCCAGTTCAAGGCCATTGATTTTCAACTCTTGAGCACTGTTCAGCTTCACAGTCTCACTCTTCTCCCTGCTGACCCGAACAATCTCTTCTTTCAACTTTTCAATCACCTTAAGAGATTCTTGGGATTCCCTCACAGCCAAATCCCTATCCTTCTTGTGTTCTACAATGACTCTTTCTTTCTCAGACACTTCCTCCATTAACTTATCACCTTCCAGCCTCAGCTTCTCCGCTTCTTCTAGAAGCTTCCTCTCTCTGCTGGCGGTCTCCTCCAACCGCTTGGACTCAGCAACGACGTCGTTCTTCAACTGGTCCCTCTCCTGGGTCAGCACGCTGAGTGAACGCTTATCGTTATGGACTTGAGAAGCGAGGTCATGCACTTGGCGCTTAAGAGCCGCAACCTCGTACTCCCTCTGGTTCTTGTCTCCGAGGAAACGAAGGGCGACTTCTTTAACCTGGGACTCAACGAAAACGAGAAGGACGTCGTTTTGAAGGTCGACGGCGAGGTTGTCGTCGGAAGCAATTGCGGAACGGTGAAGCGCGAGCTGCAAGGACTCAATCTGCTGTCTGCGATGAGTGGTTTCTTTGAGAAGAACGGAGTTGAGGTTTTTGAGGTTCTGAATCTGAACGGAGGGGTCAATGTCATCGGTAGCCGTAGCCATTGGTGGCGTTTCCGTTTGAGGTTTGGAATGAGATTGGTGGGACAGTTTCTTTTTGGCCATATTAGAGAGAGTGAGGGGTTTTCTAGGGTTTTTATTTTTAACGGCGTGTGTGTAGTGTGTGTGTGTGTGTGTGTGTGTGTGTGGAATCACAATGGGTGAGCTTTCTTTGGTTTTACTTTGTTTTGTTTTGCGTTGCGATTCAAATACCACAGAATATGAAGTGGCAGAGAGATAAATGATGTGTTCTGTTCCCTTTTCAAATTCAAATTTTTGGGGCCCAAACCCAAACCCTCTTTGCGTTTTTAACTGCTTCGGAACTCCAACCATCCATTTATGCTGTGGCGGCAATGCTTATCCTTTTATTATTTAATAATAATTAAAAAAAGTGAATCGTTCCTTTTAAATCATGCCTGTTCAACTTTTTTAAAATGAATGGAATTGTAATTAAATGTATGTATATTTATAATGAATTTTAATCTTTATGTTTATTTCTAAATTAATATATTCTTATTATAAATTTTTAATACATTTTTAGTATATTTTTTAATAATATTATATTTTTTCAATTAGTGTTCTTATAACACTTGTTAATAAAATACATTAATATTAAGTGAATTTGTTAAATGATGGATTTGGGTGTTTTACACAAAGTCATAATGCGTGAAAAAAGAAGCAGCAAGATACAATCTGCAAACACACAGGGCTTTCTGTGTATGATTGTGAAAATGACTTTGTTAAAATATGCAAAACTTATTTTTGTAATTTTTATTATTATTAAGTAGATAATATTCCTGATGCACATTAAAAAAATATGATGAAAGGTTTTTAGGTGTTTTGTTTATTAAACTGTGTATCATCTGGTGTCATTGTGATGATCATATATATATATATATATATATATATATATATATATATATATATATTATAAATTTTATGTAATTTGTAAATATATAATAAAATGATAGTTATTTAATATATTTTAAAAAACCCACATAAAAATAAAATGAGATAAAAATTTAAATAACGTGAAATTTTCTGAACTTAATACGGTTTATGATTTTTTAAATTTAACAATTAAATTAATTATTTTTTAAAAAAGGTTTTAGATGCATCGTTATACTAAATTATTTGGGTAATGTCATTTAATGCTATAAAATTAAAAGTTTTATGTGGAATTATTCATTCATATTAAATAAAAATTAACAAGTAATTAACAAGTGAAATTAATTATAATTAATTACATTATTTAAAACAATAAATTGATCAACTAACTGTAATAATAATGGGATTTACAGTATCAAAGATTTAGGAATTAAAAGAGATTTATTAAAAATTATAATAATATAAGAGAAAAATATTAATTAGAAGTGAAAAAAGTGAAATCTATATAATTTTTAATAAATTTTAATCAATAGTAAGAAGTGTGTTAGAGAATGCATTACTAACAATTTTTATTAACTAAATTTTTTAACACACTTCTTATTATTGATTAAAATTTATTAAAAAGTTATATAAATAATGTATGTATCACTCTTCCTTATTCCTAATTTAATATTTTTTTTTTCATATTTTTATAATTTTAATATGTTTTAACCAATAATAATGGGCATTCTTATTAGCAAATAGTTATAAGTGTGTTAAAAAGAGTATTTTAAACTTTTTAAACTTTAATTTTCTTGTTTAGAACAAAGTTTTGCTACTTAATATTTTAAATACTAATTAATAAAAAAAGGGTAAATTTTTTTTTTATCAAAAATTATATTAAAGTGTATAAACTAATGCATTTTGGATATTTGTTAGTGTAAGGTTTTGTATAATTATTTGCCTCTTGTTTTTTTTATTCAAAAATCATAACTATCGCTTTCATCTTGAATTTTATGGTTCTCACTCGTTAAAATTCTTACACATGTCAATAACATTGAATAAACTTAACTCAATAGTTAAATGTATTCTCTTGCATTTTTTATCTTTTAAGATTTTCACAAGTTTTTCCTTTTTTTTTAGTCTCTCTTTGATAGTTGTGAGAAAGTGATGAATATATTTTTTTTTCTTTTTATTAGGACACTATATAATCCTTATATTCTATGTGAAAGGAGAAGAAAGAGTTTTATTTTATTTTATTTTTTAAAATATATTTATATTGATTCTATCTTTTATAATTAATAACTATCATTTTAAATTTCATAAGTAGGATCAAACCATAAGTTATATAAGCCATTTAATAAATGTTTTTTTATGGTAATAAAATAAATTAAGAGTGATATTACGTAAATGTCCTAGATTGTAAAGAATTATGAAAATATCTTATTTAAATTGAATTATTTATAAGACAGAAAGCAGTTTCAATCGACTTAAAGCTAATTCTACCTGTTATCTGTGACGTGTGGAAGTCAATTAAAATTCACACATCAATTAAAATTGATTTTAGGTAGAGGTGAAAGAAGTTGATTTAAATCAACTTTAGAAGGCTTTAGAAAATTATATTATAAGACTTTTGTATGCTATATATGCACCAACCATAATTAACATGAGAGAAAGAAGGTTCTTGAGAGAAAGAAAGAGGAAAAAAGTCTAATGTAACTGCAATGAAAATAGATAATAATTTAAATTAACTTAATTTTATTATTTTTTATTTAATATAAATTTTTCATTAATTTTTTAATTATCTAATTAAAAAGATTTGTAAATATTAATTTAATTATTATATATTTAATTAATTGTTTGTTATATATTTATTTTTTATGATAATATATTCTATGATATATATATATATATATATTGTATATATAACACATAATATTTGTTATATGTTTAATCAATTGTCTGTTATAGAATTGTTAGTGTATTAAATATTATGATTTTTACTATTTGTTACAATAAATTAAATAATATTAAGATTTAGATTGTAATTTGGTGAATTTTATAAATTAAATTTAGTGAGTGTTTAATATATTTCAAGAATTTTAATTGATGTTTTGTCTTGTAGAAATTTGTTTATTTATTTTAATGAACTTTATACATTAAAATAATCTTAATTAAATTATATTTTTTGTTAAATTTATTTTATAAGGTAGTTAACTTAAGTTTAATCTTGTTGTAATGTATTTATTTAAATTTTATATTGTATATAAACAAAATAGTAAGTAATATTTTGATGTAATTTTTAGTTGTAGTAAACAATACTTGATATATAATTTTTTTTATCTCATAGGATATTTGAATTTTTAAAAGTAAATGCTATAACATGATGGTCACTCGAGATCCAGATTCGAGAATGAAACCGTTTTTTAGACTAGTTTTGGCATATTGAGTAAATGATGTCAATATTTGATTTTGATCTGTGGAGCGCAATTAGGTCGAATCATACACATTTTATCTTCCATATATCACTTTAGAAGATGTTGTGTTTTAGCTTTAAACTAAAATATATTAAAATTGACTTCAGTTTTGAATATAAATATATTAAAATTAACTTTAGCTAGTTATACGAAAGTTGATTTAAATTGACTTTATTTTGTGTGTAAAAAGTATAAAAATCTTCAAATAAAGTCGACTTCAATATAATCAATAATTAGAATGTGAAAGATAATCGATTTAAATCGACTTTTTTGAAAGAAAATTGAGAAAAAAAAATTGATTTAAACTGACTTCTATTTCAACTCCATGCAAAAATTTAAAAAAAGTCGATTAAAGTCGGCTTCTGATAGAACAAAGTCAAGACAAAAGTATAAACTTATTCAAAAAACATCATATACATTTTAAATTATTTTATTTATGTTAAAAACCTTTGAATAAATTGCTAAACTATTTAACAATTAGTATTTATCTAACATTATCTTTACCTAAAGCTTTAGTAATATTTTTTAGATATATTTTTCTTTTAATTTCTTTCTATCACATTACTTAACTTATCTCATACATTTTTCTCTTCTTTTAAATTATTTCAAAGACCAATTTAAGTTATTAATAATTTTGTTAAGAACTAAAAAAAATGCACAATTCACTTTTATGTGAACTAATTAAGTGTTAAAAATAAAAGAAAAATGAGAAAAATACAAGAATGTTGGATGGCTTGTACATGAATGAATCTTTAGTCTACATATGTTGCCTAAGCAGGAGACACGTATGTTTGGAGAAATCCTTGGTGCAGCGATTGTGGTTCCATCATATGACCCTTTCATGGATCATTTGAGTCGATCAATTGCCGTTGGCAATACTCAAAGAAAATTGATAAACTTGTTGGAATGTTAAACGAGTACGAACTCAGGAAAGTATCGGTTGACCCTTCAATCATGGAACTCATGCTTTTCCACACACACATAGGATATCTGTCTTTTTGTGACCTTCGATGATCTTCAACCTCTATGTTTGCAATATGTTGAAAGCAAGTCGCAGGTCGAGCAATTTGATTTTTACATTTTGCTGGCAGAAGGAATCGTAATTCTCCATTAGTGTAAGCACTAAGTTTTGAATTAGAAGTTCACTTTTGAACATTTCAGAACACTTCAATAATAGAGCTATTCTATATTCTTCATATACCAAGTACTAGACTTTAAATTACAAGTACAAAGAAGATTGCTGACTTGACATTTTAGGTTGTTGATGATTCGATCGAAGCCCACGTTTAATTCTGTTCATAACACGTGCCTTTTACCACACCAATTAAAAAGTAACCCCTTTATATTTCATTGCGTGGGGCATTGTAGCCTCCTTGCTTTTTCATATGCATGCACCAACAACTTATGTTAATCTTGTAATTTATGATCATATATTAAAAATGCAGACCAAGGCTTGTTAATGTGATCTGAAGGAAAGTAAAATATTTGGTTAACAACTTTAAATCAGAATCTGCCCAGCTGGAATCTCTTCGTCAAATACACTTGCAAAGCATTATTTAATTAGATTAGCACCGCAACTTCCCATTGCATCGGTTTGATTTTTTTCTCAAAACTTCACAAATAATCCACTTATGATAAAATTTTTAAATCTTGAGATTCCTTATCAAAACAGTATAAACCCATGAGCTATTTTGAGAGAAGGAAATTGAACTAGAACTTGAAAAGCTATTGTCATCATGATGTGGAAACAGGACCAAATACATGGAATTTGTTTGGTCATCAGCTAATGTTATTGACCTTCAAACAGTGAAGTTTGTGGCTGTGAAATAAGCTGTTATGCTAAGGTAAAATCTCAAATCTGTCAGTGAAGGTTCAGAAGTGCCTATCTCTAACAAACATTGATTTTTTTCTTTAATAGAAGTATATCAAGTATCATAGATTGTTTATATTTATTCAATTAGCAAACATTTTACAATACTACAAGTTTAAGAAGAACAGAAGTAATTGATTAATGCAATATGGTATTGTGTAACCAACGAGAAAAAAAAGATGGGCTAGTCTGTCATTACTGATTAGAGTGATTAGAGCTTAGCTTGCTTTTGGATCTTGTCTGCAAATGACGTGCTGACCGGGAGACATCTCACCTATCTGGAAGAAGTTGACCTTATAACATATATCCATGCATTGAATGTAGTACATTGTTCAGACCAAACCGTGACTAGAAATGTCGCTCACACCAAATCAACATGTTACCAGCGTGGATTTTCTTCTTTTTCCTAGACTATAAATTCTTATATTCTCCTAGACAGTTTAATACTCATTCTGATTATATTTATGGGATTCTTTTAATTAAACCACATAGATTAAGAAAATTAGTTAATATATGTGTTTTTGAAAATTCAATTGCTGCATTTCAAGCTTACTTTTATTAAACAAGTCAAACTCTATTATCATGTTAATGGTCAAGAAGTTTTAAAGGTTCAATATTTATAAAGGGCAAATATGAAAAGAAAATATAATAAATGCTTCTAAATCTAAATCTTATATTAATTATCACATAAAAATCTTGAAAGGAGTCTTATGAAAAGGTTTGGAGGGAGTGGAAACATTACTTGCATAAACATTCAAGAAGTAGGATTATATTTAAAAGATTATTTGATAAATTCAAATTGATTCTCAATCGTTCAGACTATTACTCTCTCATTACTTCAGAATTTCTCGTTTGTGTCTCTAACGCGCCTATTTCTTTGCTGACAAATTGTGTGATTCTCGAAAAAAACATGCCAACTAGGTGGATTCTAAGAGCAGATGCACGGTCATTGAACGTAAATCTAGGAAACTTTGCAATTTGTAATTGATCAGAGATTCACGTTTTGCACGTTATCAGTACTCATTTTCCCATCGCTAGGATGTGCATTTTGTATGGGGTTATGGACCAAGACTAAGCATATAGCGCTCAAAAAGGTAATGAACTTGAGTATTAACACTGTTAATGTTAAGAAAATTGATGAAATTTCTATTAAGGTACTCTTAAGTTTAAGCATTAAAGTTTGGTGCGTTAAGAAAATAACATCTAGCTATCTATATATGATTGCATATATTAGTAAAGGGAGATTTTGAAGTTACTTAAGAAAATATGCTATTAGCAATTTCATTTTGGTTAGTTTCAAGTTTCTACTGGTTTATGCATTGATTGCAAGAGCGAATACCGCGCTTTTCAATTCGTTGGCAAAGAAGAAGATAGTTAATATTTGCACAGCACAGCCGAGAGATCCAACCTCTATTTTTTATTTAAACATTAGGAGCATGGGTTATTCACATTGCTTTTGGACTAAATATGGATCAACTCTGGCTTAAATGATAAATCCACTGGACAAAATCATACACAAAGTGAAAATACAACATAGAAGTGAGGTTGTTTTGTGTGCAGATTAGACATGATTTCTTCGTAGTGTTTTTTGCAATTGCAAATTGAAATTGTAGCAAAACATCTCTGCCTATCCACCTGCCGCCAAAAGCTTTTGCTCCATCTACAATCAAACAAACGGAAAGATATTGACAGTTTCTCATGATTTTATAGAAAGCATAGACAAAATCCTCATCCACTTACCCTGAATAGTGTTTCAAGCTTGTTTTTCACCAAAGAATACTCACGTTTCACCAGTTGTAAGTTCATAAGACACCTGAAAACCAATCCTTCATTTCGTATCAGAATATGGAGATTTTTCTTTTAAGAAACGAAAAACTATCAAACCACACGAACAAGTACAACACGATATTTTACAAGAATCATAGCCATAGGTATATGTATTTTGATGTGGAATTGTTAAGAAACTTAACCCTTCAACGTTTTGGTCCTCGCATGAGTTTCGGAAGGAAATGCAGATTCTGTGAACTCTCTGTGCTCCAATGCTGCATTTCCCAGTAACTTGATCAAAATTATGATAGTTGTAAAAACAAAAATTGAGAAACTAGTTATGAAGAATTACCTGGAGCTGCTACCCTTCAACTGGTGAACATGAGCATCCAATTTTTTAAAATCAATGCTTTGCTGGCTTCTGTTTGAGATGAATGAATTAACATTAAAATCAAAACATTCCCAAAGATGCATTTTTACTTGGTCTAATAATTTAAAAAAGGTTATTCTTGTTCTCTTACAGTGCTATTGTGAGCTCATTAATAAGCCTCTCTGCATCTTCAAAAAATAGAGTCACCACTTCAACTACAAAATCCGGGTTACTTTCATCTTGAAGTTGCTGAAGCTGGTTAAATTGATCATCTAGAAAGCCCTTTTTAAAGAAAAGAAAGACATCACCAAAGTGAGCAATAGCAAACCAAAGCAGAAAGCACATGAAGTAAATACTACAAGAAACATAGCTTATGAGACTTCCCTTTCTATTTCACAGTGATGTATGATGGCAATTGTATATTACTTCTGATGACCCTTTTAACTATTTCACATAAATCAAGAAATGTAATAGCATGGTGACTTACCTCGTGGAATAGAGAGGCAGTGTAATCAACAATTTGCCTCTGCAGCTGAACCATACCATCCATTATTTGTCTAAAGATGTAACCACCTACTCAATATTTTAGGTACACATTTCTTCTGCTGCAGAGTTTATATAGTGCGAATTTTGTTCTCTATTGGGGCCAACTATCATTTGTGTTTTAAACTCATTATTTTTTTAATATGAAACAGTTTTCAAAGACAGTCACTTATTGTGTTTCTGTTCATTGATTCCCCATCAACCTATCATTTATGGCCAGCTTAACCTCTCCTAGGTTAAATTAATAGGATCAATAGATCTAATCCAAGACTCACGCCACGTACCATTCATTTTTCCATCTTTTTCATTTGGTAATTATTGCCTCCCTCTTTTTTATATATTTTTTTGGTAGATATTACCTTCATGTCTACTTTTTTTTTTTTCTCTTGCATTATTTTCTATTAATGTTATCAACTAGTGCTTTGAAGATGCTAATTAACATTCCCATTTTTTTAAAGCTAGTTTATCTTTTTGAATTCCATCCCTCAACCCAAGTTAGTAATGGCATTTTTTTGGGTCAAAGTCTTGAACACTAAACCTCTCACTTCCCACTACCCTGCAAATTCTTGCAAAAGATAAGCTCAATTTGTTATGTTTTGAACTACCAAACACAAGTAATAAAATGAACCTCACCTACAGATCATTATATGGAAGAGGTAACGTTCAAACACAGTATTTAAAGTAGTTTTATGTTTGGTATATTTTAAAAACAAAATACACAACATGGCATAAAATTTATAATGTAATACAGTTTAATTTTCCTGAAGGGATAATACCAGAAAGAACAAATCAGAAATTATGATAAGTTACAAAAAAGTAAGTCTTTGATATAATTTTTAATATTTTTTAAAGAAATTTCTATTTTTAAAAATTATAATTATGTTTATTCTTTTAAACATTTTAATTCTTTAGAAAAAATTCTTAAAGGAAAACTCAAAAGAATCAAATGGATTATGATAAACTCTAACCTTGACTAACGGTAAACTGGAGGGATTAAGTATGGGGCAACATTCTTTTTTCTTGGCTATACTTCACACTTCATTGTGATTGAAGAGAAGGGAAAAGAAAGTTTAGAAAGGGTATCTTAAGATATTTTTTATGGATTATGTCTTTTCCAAATGACAATGATATGTTCAAAGCAACAGATAGTGAAAATTTAAGTTATCTGTCAATTTTACACTAATTTGGTACGATATAGGATTAGACTACTTGTTATTTCATAGCATATCTGGCGTTATTTGCCTACTCTTAGTGCATCTCTATCCCACGTGTTATTCTGTAGCATATTTAATTTTTTTAATTTTAAATGCACAATTAATGCTTTAACTTTATGTTAATATATTAATTATATTTTTATTTATTATAAATATTAATTTTAAATATATTTATTTAAAATAAAAAAATTCTACTCCCCTTCTTTCTCACTTAAAATGATTCATAAGAAATTCTAAAAGTATGCTTTTGCAAGCCAGAGACTCATTATTTCTCTAAGGTGCTCCTGTTATTGCATTTGTTGTACATTTTGCTGTTGTTGATGTTTGATTGGATGATATATTTCCCCTGAACAGCTGCTTTAGTTTACCATAGAATATGGCACATATGCCCCACAATGAGGTAGGAAAATGTTGCTCTGTTTAATTTAGTCATGACAGCTATGCAAGTTTATAAAATTTTCTTATATTTGTTTTTACCATCAAATTATATTTTTCTTACAAAAGTTTATCAGTTTTTATAAATAAAATCAATAACTGTGTATGAAATTTACCTTTTTTCTACAACCGTGACTTGATACCAATTGAGAGATTCATGGTTAACATAAAAGATATATTTTTATTCAAAATTATCACTAAAATGAATGCATGTTAAACTTAAATTGAGAAGACTCATCTTATTTTATTTTTATGTAGAAGACAGATTTAGTTTGAGTATAAAAAAAATTAAGCAATTTGATGGGTAGAACAATTTGGATGAAAAGGTGGGATCCGGAACCTCTCATGTTTACGCGGGAACATGACCCTCATGTTCAAATTCGCTTAAGCAAATTTTGAACGGCTTAAGCAAATTTTGAATGGCTTAAGCGAATTTAAAATGGCTTAAGCAAATTATGTAAAAAAAAAAGTAAATTATGTAAAAACTAACAGCATGTTATCAAAGGATAAAATTTTACAAAATTTATTATCAAAGTCAATTCTACTCATCCAGAAACATTTAACTGTAACAATAAAACATGAATAAAAACTCCATTTTATTCCATTCCATTAATAGTATACAATTATTCACAATGAAATTTACCAAAAAAAATTTATTAATACATAGACAAGTAAAAAATAAAAGAAGCTGAGGCATTTTATTCCATTCCATTCATATCAAATATCATCCGGGAATAAATGGGAGAGGATGAGGATAACGCTGCTGCTGCAGCGTTATCCTCATCCTCTCCCATTTATTCCCGGATGATATTTGATATGAATGGAATGGAATAAAATGTCTCAGCTTCTTCGTTATCTTCATCCTCTCCCATTTATTCCCGGATGATATTTGATATGAATGGAATGGAATACAATGCCTCAACTTCTTTTATTTTTTACTTGTCTATGTATTAATAAATTTTTTTTTGGTAAATTTCATTATGAATAATTGTATACCATTAATGGAATGGAATAAAATGGAGTTTTTATTCATGTTTTATTGTTACAGTTAAATGTTTCTGGATGAGTAGAATTGACTTTGATAATAAATTTTGTAAAATTTTATCCTTTGATAACATGCTGTTAGTTTTTACATAATTTACCTTTTTTTTTACATAATTCGCTTAAGCCATTTTAAATTCGTTTAAACCGTTTAAAATTCACTTAAGCGAATTTGAATATGAGAGTCATGTTCCCGCGTAAACATGAGGGGATACGGATCCGAAAAGGTGAGATTTCAATGACATCATTTGATAGGTAAAAAAAAATATAAAAAAGAGTTACAGCTGAATTAATGTGTGTTGGGGCTGAAGCAGAGTAGTGAGTAGGGGGCAATATTTGAAGAGTGCATCTGCATCAATAACCTGTCTCTTTAAGCACCCAACTCCTGGGGTCGCTTATTCTCTTTTCAAGCTCCTATGGTTGTTGCTAGGAGAACCATTATTCCTTTTTGGCTTTTCTTCTTCCTACTCAAATTTTGTTTTATATTTTCATCACTTTTATATTATATATATAAAAGAAACAATAAAGTCTCTAACGACTAACATTCATAAATCATTAAATAAAAATAAGTCAATATAAAAAGAAAAACCATTAAAAATAAAATAAAATAAACAAACATTTTAACTACGAACTATCAATTTCTAAATTGATTTGAAATTAACCTACAAAATTATTTATTATTTTAACAATTTATTAACTAATGTTCTTAAGCATTGATAAAATGAATGTCATTACATTAAAATTAAATATTTTTCAATTAAAATAAAAAATAAATCTTATTTTTAAAAAAAATTAATAACTATAACTAAATGATTCTTAACCCTCCTTTAAATATGTGAAAAAAGTATATGAAATAACAATAAGACATAAAGCTTGCTTCTAAAAACTTCACTCCAAAAAAGATAATGATTATAAAAAAATATTTTTCTATCTCTCAAATAATTCTTTTAGAATAATAATGATACTGGTAAGTCATCTAGATGTTCATTAGATAAATATTAAGATTGTGTTTCTAAATAGCTGATATTGGAAAAATAATTTATAATGACTCAGTCTATATGTAAACTAAAGAAATTTATTTATAATTTCATACAAGTTTTTCATTAATAGTATCATAAGTTCTATCAAGTTATTACTTCGTATAGTTTTAAGATAAACATAGCTGATAATTGTATCCACTATAAGTTTAGTGAAAATAAATATATATTCTTAGTGTTATATGTTAATAATATATTACTTGTTAGCAGTGATATAAACTTATGGCATGAAATTAAAAGATTTCTAACAAAAGATTTTTTATAAAATTTTGAAATAAAAAATTTTAGTAAAATTTTTTTGTATTAAATATTAAAATATTAAGAGATTTTTTTCATAATATCTTAAAACTATCCTAAAAGAGCTATATCGATAAAATTTTAGATAAATTTGACATAAAAGATAGTAAGCAACGAGATATTTATGTAGTTAAAAGAATATAAATTTAGTTTCAAACAGTATAAAAAAATGACATTCAAACAAATGAGATATAAAATATTCCATATACATGTTCTGTGAAAAGTCTTATGTACACTCAAATATCTAAATATGTGAGAAAAGTATATGAAACAACAGTGATAAATGAATATTCTTTTAATTTTACTTTTGCATTTTTATTAAGTAAGTAATATAAGAAAATATTGCTGACATATGCGATGTTATTTTACGAGCTAAATGGCATGCAAAAACAGGGGAACAAGTAAGACAACAGTCACGCGTTTGTTCCCTCCGAAAAATAATGATAACGTGAAAGTTGTAAAATCATTTATAAGAAAACGTGTTTTTATTCTGAAAGGAAGAGTGGGTTGATGGATGAAAAATCACCAATCATAGATAGTTAGAATAATCCCATAAGTTGGAATTCTTGTCAGTTTCAGTTTATACATTTATTCAATTGTTCCACTTTCATTACACACTCCATTCTCGTGCCTTCTCTCACCTTATTAGGTTGCCTTCGTTTAGGATAAAGTAAAATTAATTTTGAACTGTATATATATACACACACACACACAAAAATATATGGTTCTATTTCAAAATGTGAAAATTATTTTTTAAATTTTAAAATAAATAAAATTTGACTTGGTGTGACTCAAGGAAATTTAATATTCTCTATTCATACCTCTAAATTACTCATGCTCTATTGTCTAAATTGTGCTAAAGTTCACTTTGCTTTCCAAATACATAGCATGGGTTGGCACACAATGTTTCATATATTTTCATCGCAGAAAATCATAGCTAGGGTTATGCTTGTTGACATAAGATACCCATAATCTTTCGTGAT